GATTTATGAACAACTCCTCTCAGAATCTCTCCCCAACATGAACAAAAAATGAGCCATGCCTGGTGTGATGATCAATGGCATATTCTGCACGTACTTGACCGAGCTTCACTCCAACACCATACGAGGAACCATGACCCTTTCTCATGTATGCCTTCGTCGGATTTCCTTGTACAGATACTGAACTCCCTAGATCGTTTCCATGTTCTGCAAATGCATAAGCGTACGCATTTTTCACTGGTATTCGAACCTCAGCTGCCAACTACACATTGCATCACAAGTGAGATACAACTTAATAAACATCTTGACATGATCATTCTAATTTAGTGTATTTTTGCTTAACCTTCTCATCTAAAAAACTTGAGCCGTAAAATATTACTTTAGCTTGCCAACATTTCCAAACGTGGTTTCAAGTGATTTGTGTATACATACCTCGAGTTTTTGTCTAGCTGCCCCTAGCTCTCCCGTGCTGTAACCTCTGACTGAATATGGTCCCCCAAGTGTAAAAGCTTCGTGGTTTGGGAGATCTCCTACACAACCACCATAGAGGCCGTGAAGGACTAAAACAGGTGGTGCAGGTTTACCTTTGCCTTCTTCGACTTGCTTTAAGGGGAAAATTTTGGTCATTGTTAGCTTATGGCGATTGAAGAATGGGAACTTGCTACCGATGCCAAGTCCTTGATCAAACTGCAGTCAATATAAGAAAATATTTTAGAACTGTTATATCAGTTTACCTTTCTCAAATATTGATAGTGGTTAAATGATTTCAACAATTGTGGAGATGAACAAAAACAGCAAAGCGAACAGCAAATTAAGCCCTCCAAGGAAAAAAAAAGGCATCAATAAAGTTGAAGTGAGCTATGGAGATCACAATGTGGTGTGGAAGGCCACGTGGACTGACTATATATGGAAGAGTATCGAGAGCATGCAAAAGGAGTGGTCAATGATGAAGACCCATGCTAGCACCTAGCAGGGTGTTAAGAATGAGGTTTCGCCAAAGCCCAAAGAGCTCACCTCATGAGGGACACCAAGCAAGTGTAAAACTTGTCGTAACAAATGGAGACGTAGTTTGCGGGCCTCAATCTTTGGGACAAATAAATATAGGTACAAACAACAGTACCTCAGTTATAATGCAGTGCTATGGTGGAATCAAAATTGTCATTTCATTCCGATTATTTATTACATCTGCATATTTGACAAGACGAAAATGAAAGATGAAGAAAAGCTTGGAAACTCACCTGAAACACATTCCTCTCACCAACTAATGCCCCGTTTAGAGATCTCGTATTATCTCGTGTTAGATTTGCTTGTAAAAATGCCATGCGATCCGTGCCAGTGCCACTTAGCGTAGTTGGAGGTCCATTAGCACTGATATTTCCATTTAACATCATCTTTTGACCATTTCTAGAAATCTGGCCATTTTCATCACGGATAATGATTTCTTCCATGACAAGTCCATAAGTGAATTTGCTCTGTTTGGTAAAATCCTGCAGAAACTATCTTAGTCAGGAAAACACAAGTGGGATAAATAGTTTAAAAATTGAGACTTTTTTCCCTAGTATGGGTTTGTTGAGGGTGAGTCAGGGTCTAAAATTAGGCCAAAAGGCATAGTTGACACGGACAACAGGTTGGTCCAAAAGGATGGAGGAGGCTAAGTTAGTCGAAAGATGGGCAACATCTAAAAGAAACAAAAATTCTCTTCTGATCAGCTACAAGAGAATAAAGAATGAACACATCTTATGGACTCCCATAACCAGAGGTTCAATTGATTACATTTACATCACGAGAAATGATCTACCTCAGTAATATTGGCTTTAATTCCAGCACGATCTGCCCATAACGGAGGCACATCTACATCAGGGCCACCTGTAAACACAGGACTGCATTTTTGACTGTTGAAACATGAAGCACGAAAGGTGCGGTTGCGAGGATTATGTAGACCATCTAGATATGGATGTACATACTCGAACTTGAAACCAAGATCATCCTGACAAGGGATTTCCCGTTGAAGTTAAGAAAGCAAGTTAGCAATAACTTACAATCCCATTCTTAGTTCTTCAATCTTTGAACATCATGAGCATGTTACATATGTAATATTAGACAATATGTAGGACTACAAATAAAATTTTAACTTATTATACTTCCTTATCGTATCATAATACCGTTTAGTACTTTCTAGTTCAATATACCAAAGATGTCACATTTATTTTCTACCTCACCTCGGGATCAAATAGGTTGCTAAGAGTCATTGAACCAATAATGCTTCGATTCAGGCCTTTGAGATTTCGAACCTCTAAGGAAATTTTTGCTGAAGGTTGTATTGAAGCCTGAAACAACAGTAAAGAAAGATGATAATATTATCCCAAGTATTTATGGATTCAACATTTCTATTTAAGAGGAGATTGTTCATATTATTCATGGTCAAATTTACAGACACAAGTCAGCGTCACTTAACTTTTAGCAAAAATTTCCCGTTGATCGCTTAAACTTCATTTTGTTCCAAATTCATCACTATCTTGATCGACAGAAAAACTTATGCAGTAATCCAGTTGACAAATAACTAGAGCACCACATCAACTTTTCTATTTAGTCAAACTAACATGAAATTTCGCTAAAAGTTTAGTGACCAGCTACGCCTTTAACCCAATCAGTTACATACCAACATTGGTCGACCATTGCGTTGAGGCACGATTTTCCATTCTGTATCGACTTCAACCGATTGGCATTGAGCTTCCTGTAACTTAATTTCAGCAGTGATAGCTCCATTTCTCTCGTCCATGGATGGATTGAGTTCAATATTAGAGAAAAGATTTAGAGAATTGAGATTATTCAAAGCCTCTCTAAATGCTTCGATTTGAAAAACACGTCCTTTCCCTAACTATAAAACCATGTAACATTAGACCAAAGAAAAAAAATTATGTAACTTGTAACAAATTCATAGAAGATATATAGAACTTGGCACAATCGAGGCGGGGAAGGGACCAGACTAATTACCTGTTTGGGCAGTACCCTAGTAATAACACCAAGCTTAGTATTTCCTTCACAGATATTCCCAAGCTTATCCTGGAACTGAACCACCACCTTATTTATATCTCCTTCCATCACTTCACACACAAGTTCCTTACTATTCGGATCCAAGTTCCCAAAATTCACGACCCGAGAAAGCTGGTATCCATTTTCATGATACCATTTCTCTATTCTCTTGGCAATCTTTCTTAAAAGCCTCGAATTTACATTACCACATTGTCTCAGCATTCCCTGGATTTCTCCCTGCACTGCCATTGGCAACATGCATGGCCTGGCTTCCTCCACTCTTTTTCGATATTGTCTGTTTTGGCTCATCATGAATTCAATTGCTTCATTCTGTGTCATATTTTCGTCCATTTGGATTGCATCCGGCTCTAGAAGCGAATTCACGCCAATGCATTTCATTCGATACTTTGATCCCCAATACATTTCTTTAATGGGGAAATTGATATCAACTGTTCCATCAGGGTTCGTTTTCATGTCGAGCTCTACTTCCTTGAACCACCCAGATGAAGCTAAATTTTCGACTTCTTTATGGAGTTCGGCTTTGGTGTAAATCCCGCACGGTTGTAGCGTGAGCAAATCGTTGAACGCATCTTCAGCATTGACAATGGACCTGTTAGAAAGATCGTGAGTTGCTCGAATCAGGATTATGATCGTTTTTATGAAAATTCTGCAAGATTATATTAACAGTAGAATTTTTTTGGTATAATATGAATCACAAGACCTAGTTCGTGGATGCAAAAAGTTGATTTTGGAGACTTTATACTTCTTGAATCCACTAAGCCTGTTGAGACTGACCACAATATTCGTCGGCAGTCCATGAGAATCCCATTCTTTTCGTTCCGAATCGTCTGCTTTCGCCATCGCCCGATGACAGAAAATACGAGACAGAAAATTCAAACCGCTGGAGAAGAAGGTTGCGACGCAGGGGGAGGACGACGGCAAGTTTTTCCGGTTTCCTGGAAAAGAAACATTGTTAGATACCATCAGGAATTTTTCGTCTGAGAGAATTGAGGGGAATAACAACAGTTTTCGATTTGTAGAAGCTAAGGATAATTGTGCATGCAGGGGCGAAAACAAACAATTGGGCCTAAAAAAGGGAAAATTACCTTAAACCCTACATATAAGATTTACTATTAAAAATTAAGATTACATAATTTTTCTTTCACTAATCAAGAGATAATTAAAATTAATTTAATTAATCAATACATGATTAATAATAATAATAATAATAATAATAATAATAATAATAATAATAATAATAATAATAATAAACCGTTTTATGTTTATCTGAAATCTAATTTAGATATTTTAAATTCATCTTGAGACATAAATACTTATAAATTTTTAGTAGGAGTCCATATTTTATCCCAAAAATTAAAAAAAAAAACTGCATAAATGTGACTTATTGGACGTATTTTGTGTTGTTTATGATCAAGTATGTGTTAATTGTTACTTTTTGTGATCAAGTATATTTTAAATATGGTTGTATGTGATTATATCTGTGTTAACTTTGATTGTTTGTGATTGATCTGTATTTAACATGAGTATGTTAATATAAGTCTATTTTTCTTAAGTTCTTATTTATCTTGGTTGGAATCTTATTTTTTGTAGCTCTAATTTCATAAGTTCTTGTTTATCGTGATCAGACCAGTGACTTTTTTTCGTTTTTTAATGATTCTAATGCTTTATTAATTCAAAATTCTGCTTTTGTTCGAGGCAATTCTACTGTTTAGGATCTTGAATTGATGATGTTGTTCTATTAAAGAAATTCGTAGTGTGCTGAAATTTAGAAAGCCTTGTGAGTTTCTTGATTCAAGTAGGAATTTTTGGGGGAAGTATGCTTTTCCAAAATGCAGGCAATGTATGGGTTTTTCATTTTTCTTCTTTTCATGGATTGTTCTAGATATTTCAAAAACTTGAATTGGTAGTGGAACCGTGGATGGTTTTCCAACTTGTTTTATTTATCTATTTATTTGAATTCTATTATTGAGTCTCTGTGCTATTTACAACTAATTCATTTGCACTCTGATTTTTTGTTCAGGCTATCTTAACTATTTGTTAACTAATGCGTCCACAAGAATTTTAAGATGTCGTGTGTCTAGCACAGAAATATCACAGTACTCATTGACTAAACTAATTGAACAGCGTTTATTCATCAATTTCTTCTATAGCTAGCTAAAGGATTTAAATAGTATGATAGCAGACCAAGGGCTCATCTTGTTTATCTTGGTCGAAATCTTATTTTTTGAAACTCTAAGAAACAAACCACCATTGCTCTTTCTTCCAACGAGGCTAAGTATCGCTCGGTCACTGCTACCGCAGCAGTGCTTAGTTGGGTTTGTTCTCTTCTCATGGAACTTGGCTTCACTTTGCCTCATTCTCCTATTGTATATTGCGATAATGTTGTTGCAACTCAGCTATGCTCAAAGCCTCATGGCTATTGATTATCACTTTATTCGAGAACAAGTTCAATCAGGCGTCCTTCGTGTAGCTCATGTTTCTTCTATTGATCAACTTGTAGATGCTCTGACAAAGCCGTTATCTCTATCTCAATTTCAGTCGTTCAAAGTCAAGATTGGCCTCTCGTCTCATGGCCCATCTTGAGGGGGCATATCAACTGTATTAGTTGTATTTTCTGTAATTGAATATAACTTTAGAATTTCTTTGGTTATGAACTTCCTAGTTGTAAGTTGTTAGTATAACTTCTCCCTTAGGCATAGGCATTTTGAGAAGTCTGCTATTCTGATGTGTATGCATACTCTTGAAATCAATGAAGTAGGAGTGCAGTCCTCCTCCCAATTTACCATTGTTTGATATGCAGAGACAGCTTTATTGAGATCTTTAGTTACAACATGTTTCCCAAGAACGAGTTCTCGAGCGATGCTCCACACAAGAAGTATGCTGGACTGGAGAGGCATGTTATTCCCGGTTTGATCAGGACTTAATAAGCCCCCGCTACGCAGGTTATAAATTAATGAAGAATGAAGTTCTTGGTAAATGAATAGGTCTTACTAAAAGTCAAGGGAATTCAAAACACCTCATAAATAAAACAAAATTGTGAAAATAATCGTTCGACAATATTCTTCCTCGACTCATTACGTTCTATGAAAGAATTTCCAAATCAATCCGGTTCACTCGTTAAGAGCAAACACCGAGTTTGGGGCACCCGACAGCAAGAGGCAAGTCCAAATTTTCCACAGTCCTGAATGTTCTGGGAAGCATCCTGTCGACGTAGAGAGTTCCATCTAGATGATCACATTCGTGCTGAAAAATACGAGCCTGCCAACCTGAAGCATCAACTTTGATTGGTTGTCCATTTCGGTCCAACCCTGTAACCTCAACCTCTAGGTGTCGTTCTACAACTGCTCTATATCCATCGACGCTGCAAAAAATATAATAAAATATTTAATAAGAGAAGGATAAATGCATAAAATAAAGTTTTAACATTTGCGAGTCTCATGTAATTGGGTTCAAGTTCAGGTTGAGCAGATCTCAACCATAAAGCAATAGGGGTAGCAGAGAATGTGTGGGTGTACGTGATGAGCAGCTAGTGGATATTAGATCAGCAGGTTCTGTAGCACCAGAAGATCCCCTCTCTGAAGGCCTTCTGGAGGAATGATCAAGTCAAGGAGTTATGTGGACATCCGAAGAGGAGTCAATGTCTCCCTACCCTCATTTGTTCCCTCTCCAGATTCTAGGATGAATTTTTCTGAAATAAGTGAGACTTGTAGGACGCTATTTTCAGCTTGGGGAGGGTGTAGGGAAGAAAGTAATATACATTGAATCTCTTTATATATCCTTCTAGCTAGAGTTTGTTTTTCAATTTTGACAGGCATTTATACAAGGAATTTGGACACATTAAACTCGATCTTTTTCTTATCATGGAGATAAAAATCTCACAAAATTATGTACTTTGGAATTGTAAAATACAAAACAGTAATTACATCATCCTTTTAACTCTGTAACTGGAAAATATTTTTATGTAATTTATGTTTCTGTTTAAAACTGATTTCTGAGTCGCCAAGAGCGTGCCATCAAGGGCGGAGCTACATAGAGTCCAGTGCAGGCCAATGCCCGCACTGGACTTTGGGCATGACACAGGGAGCTCCTGTGTCTGCACTGGACCAAGACGAGGAGAAAAGGGAAGAAAGAAGGGAGAAAAAGTGTGCATGTTGGACCAAGAAGAGGGAAGAAAGAAGAAGAGAAAGTGTGCCTGCAAGAAACTCCCTGGACCAAGAAGAGAAGAAGAAAAAGTGTCCCTGCAGGAAATAGACCAATAAGAGAAGAATGAGAAGAAGGAAGAAAAAAAAAGTGTGAGCTGGGAAAGTGTGCTGCAAAAAAAAGAGTGAAATTATTAGAAAGAGTGATGACTTTCCTATTATTAAGGTATTAAATTGATGAGTGATAAGTCGATACTGATAAATTGGTGATAATTTTTATGATAATAATTCATCACTCCTAACAAAAAAAATTAGAATAATCAACTATTAATTGTATTAATTATCTTAAATCAATTTATTTTATGAGTTGGGCAGCCAATTGTAGCAAGAGAGAGACTTGAGGGGATGGATTGACAAAAAAAACTCGTTAAATTTGATACCTGCAGAGATGCGACGGGAATTACTCGTCTAATCGGGTAAACGAGATGAGGGCCGTTGCCTTGAAACAAGTATGGAATACGGAAAACATGAACTATTTCTGTTCAGGACTCTGCATCGAATACGTGAAGTTCATTTCGTTCATAGACTAATTTTGACCAAAAAAATCTCCGCAACTGATACCTAAAATTGTGCCCGCACTGGACAAATTCTCTGGCTCCGCCCCTGCGTGCCATGGAGGTCTAAGGTCACTACTTTATGCTTTAGCTCTTTTTGTTCTAGAATTTAAAACTTCACACGCTGATGTGGCCAGAAAATCTTAGTTATGGTTCTCCGAATTTATGACCATTTCAAAGAACAATAGCTAAGGTTCTTTTGCCACGTCAGCAGTGAAAAGTTTTTATCTTGTCCACAGCGGACAGGAGATCAAGACTAGTTTTTGTTCTTATTTAACTTAGATGTGACTGACATTTAAGTCACGTTGTATGAATTCATGTCTAATCTTCTTCATTCCTTTCAATGTCAATATATGTAATTGAGAAAAAGAAAAAAGGGAACGAGGAGGATTTCACTGTGTTCAAGAGAACGAGTGAAACTATTCTCAAGAACCAGTAGACCTGAAATAAAGATATATATATATTTGATGGGATAAAAATTGGAAAGTTGTGGATGATAAATGGAATATTGGGTAATGAAGATTAATTCGATCGATGATAGATAAAGAATTTTCAGTTAGCAAATAAAGTTGTCTATCCATCATGAATAGGCTTTAAGGGTTTTAATGCTAACTTTAGGATTGATGAAAATACCACAGAAAATTTGCTAGTTACAATCTCCTCGACTCATCTAATTACCATGTCATTCAACCCTTTAGTCATAAGTGTGAGCCATTGCATTCAGGAAAAATAAAATTAAGCAAGAGACAACTTAGTACTCTTCAACAACTTTGCCACTGGCAGATGTCGCTATATCCAGCCATTCAAATGTGTTTTTAGGAGAATATTAAGCATCCTCATTGATGAGTTAGCGAATAATCGAAATCCATAATGCAGACGCTGATGAAATTTGTGTCTCAATTGTGTGAAAACATATGAACGCCATGAGTTTACTGCATTAAATTCCTACGCTTAAATTAAAATCTCTTATCACATTCACAAGCAACAAAAGAATAAGGATGTCAAGAATTTCAAGCCATCCTCGAAAAGTAGCCGGAAACAAGTTGCTAGTGGCTCACCTTAAACACCCTTCAAAAAATAGTGCTGCCTTATTACCCTTCTTTTTGAGTATTGGATTTATCACAACCTGCACTAAAAGAGCATTAAATTAGGCCTTCGAAAATGCTTCACAATTTTATCAAAGCTTATTCGTTTTTCTATTGGCATACCAAAAGATCAAAAGGTCGCCTCTCTTGCGCCTTAGTCTCTTCCTTTGGTGCATAGCTAATATATTCTTTGGTGTCTTCCAAAACAATTATCTGTTAACAGTATATAGACGAAAACCAGTCACTAAAAAATGACATTTCATTTATCAAGTGCATGTCTAGATGACACAGGATACAAGATTTAGCTTCTTTTTCTTCCTTAAAACCGTCCAAATACCGTCTAATTGGCCTTATCAAACACACCGTAATGCTAAATTTTCAAAAATTAAATTATATCAACGCGTACCTTTAAGGGGATGCCAATTTGAGGAGCTGCAAGGCCTACCCCAGGTGCCCTTCTCATGACCTTTACCATGTCATCTATAATCTTCTGGATCCGACTCGATCCAATTTCCTCGGGTCGGACCTGCTGAGTCGGTTCATGAAGAACCGGGTCTCCAGCTTTTACTATGTCAGGGGTGACCTGCTTTTTCTCGGTCATGCCCAGAAACCAACCGGCCCGGGCAGTTGAAGTTGAGCTGTGATTTCTTTGGGGTATTATCAATGCCGGACTCGAGATGGATGACCCAGGTCTGAGTATGGGTTTCTGGGTCTGGTGGAAACGTATAACTGGTGGTGTGTGGATTCGGGTTGGCGAAAGGGATTTTAAGCACTTTTCTGCAAAGGGTATTGCGGGAAAGCAGCGATGAGTGAGTCTCTGAATCGTCTCCATTGCCAAGCGATTTGCTTGGCTACTGACAAGCAGATGAAATTTGGCACCAAAAGTCTGGCGTTTAATGGGCCTAACCGGATGTTCTCCGGACTTAAAAATTGGGAAATTTTATAATTAAGTGGGTAAGTATCAACTATTTCAAAACTAAAAACAAATGTTTCAAATTTAAAAAATCAGATACTAATTAAAATTTATTTATGATTTAATTAATAAAATATATTAAGATCACAAATTTATATAATTTGATCACAAATTAACGATTTAATTAGTTACATATTATTTTTCGATCACAAATTAAAAAAATTATATGTTACAAATTATCTTATGGTCACGATTCAAAAAATTCATAGGTCACAATTTGTTCATCGATCACAAATCAAAAATTTATATATCACAATTTATTTATCGGTCATAAATCACAATTTATTAGACAGTCACAAATTTTCAATTAGAAATTTTATATGTCACAATTATCTTACGGTCACAAATCAAAAATTTATACGTGACAAGTTATTTATTGGTCACAAATCACAAATATTATAAGGCACAACTTATTAGACAGTCACAAATTTTCAAATTATCGATCACGAATTAACAATTGTTTAGGTCACACATTATTTATTTGTCACAATATATTTATTGATCACAAATCACAAATTTTATAAGTTACAACTCGAGTTTTTAGGCCATATATTATTTAATGATCACAGGTTATCGATCACATTGGTCACAATCTCAATAATTGGTCACAAACACTATTAATCCCACCACTTACCCACCCAATCTCAATCCACCATGGCACAACCAAAAGCAATGCAGCCTCACCGTCGCCCCTACCACCAAACTACCATTTTCACCATCTCACCGCCACAACCACCAACGAACCACCATTTTCAACTACAAAACCACCATTGTCATATCACCCCAATTGCCAAATCCACCACCGATAAAAACCACCACCACCAACAGCTCAAAGAAAACCACTACGTCGCGTCACAACGCCATCATCACGACGACGACACTAATAAACCACGACAACCACGGCACCATCACGACCTTCACACCACCACCAACACAAAAACAACAGCCAAACTTGAGAAAGCACATCGCTTGGAACCACTTCGCCGATGTCGCCATCACCACTGCGGCCCCACCAACCGGCCACCACAATCACGACACACCGCCACATCCACGCCATCAACACCAAAACATCGATATCGCCATCAGCAAACACGGGGATGATTTTTTTAATTTTTTAACAACAAAGGCCCAATTGGTCCTAGTCTCTACCCCAACTAGTGACGGCCCACGTGCGGAGATCCTGAATTTATTATAGAAATCCTATTTGAATGATTGGTGTGACTCTAGTAAAAAGTATATTTGTATCTTGTCTTGTCAATAGGGTGTAAAAGTATTAAATGCTTTGTAAAGTCAAGAAGTCAAAATGATAGCTAGGAATTGATGCTTCGGGCGTAGGGATGAGGCCACGTGCAATTTCATCCAAGGGTCACTATTCCATTTGTAACACTATAAATACCCCCACCATGTAATAATTGAAGGCTAATGCAACTTTAGATACTTGGAGCAATTGGTTTTACTCTTTTATATTGATTTTCGGTATTGTATCTACATTCATAGCGATTGATTATTTTTTATACATTCGTGTTTTGGATATTTTGCCAGAACTCGAACGGAAACGTATCACATCGTTGAGCTTCTCCCACGTCCAATTGTGGAGTGGTCATAATCGTTGATCCGACTTTAAGTGTTGGATATAGCTTACACATGTACGAGTGAGTTCGACATCTGTTGGCATCACATTTTGAGGTGCAACATATTCAAAACGTATATAAGTGTGTATATGTATCTCGTATCTAAATTCTTGATTCTTATTACACGAGATATTTTATTTCTCGATGTTGACATAATTCTCAAACAATTCGTAATCTAGCTTCAAATGTAAAAGGCAATGCAAAACCACAATAGAAATGAACAGAAACTCAAGCTTAAAGTCAAAACGTAATAATTTATTGATGATTTAAAACTACATTTCAATCACATATTCCATAGACCACGAGTGCTATTCACTCATTTTCTATTTACTTATAATTAAATGGTTTATAAATTCTATAGGAGATATTACACCGATAATGTGCATATTATATTCATCAAGAGCATGCCGTTAGTATGCGTGAAATCGAAACATCATTCGACTTACCGAAATCTGATTTGAGAAGATAAAATAGCGATTTACCGACTTCAAATATAAGAATATAAATTCCTCACTTCCCAATA